TTATTTATTAAAGTACTAGAGGCCTGTTGCATGAAGAGATTCGTGCAATAGGCCTTCCCTTCTCCTGGCTGTGGGCACCGGTTTTCTCCGGCACCCGGGACCCAGGCCTTTGCTCGGGCCGGAGCCACCTTCCGTCCTCCGTCTTCGTGGACCCAGGAGGGAAGAAGGCACCTTCAGCGCTCTCAGAAGAGTGGCTGCAGCGTATCCTGGGCCAGCTCACATCAGTGACCGTTAATGCAGGGGACAAAGGCCAGCCCTCATGCCTCAGTCGGAAGACTCTCTGAAGGGCCATCCTCGCCCCAGAGTCCGGGGGCACGTGCAACTTCACTGCATTCCATTTCTGCCTCCGCCCAGTCCTGCTTCCCTCACTGCTCTGCAGACACTGCTCCCAGGAGCGCTCCTGAGGCAGCAGTCTGCTGGAGGCCCAGGATCTCAGTGTCTGTTTCCCAGGTCGAAGACACCTGGCTACATTTATTTACTGGATTAGTCAAAGCTGATTGTGTGCAGTGACAGATCCCAAGGGTATTTCACAATGGCCATAACTCCAGAGATGTTTGCAAGAGGGTACTCAGAATGTTGTATACTGGCAGGGCGTGGGCGTCCACGAATCAGAACAGAGGTCTCTGTGATCAGCCAGCACACCTGGACCAATGTAGGCAGGCGTTCTGGATTTTCCAGCAGCTGGCCAATTCTTTCCTACTACAGAATTGTGTTGGCCATATTCATAGGGACAAATACTAAGGCTGGAGTGCCAAGACACAAGTGGTTATTACTTCAACTACCTGCCCTAATTCACAATAAAAGAATACAACTGTGCTTCTCACAAACAGGTCTAATCTCCTTGACTGGGTTGGGCTCTGCCTCATAATTATGTTGTGGAAAAAAAGTTGTTTCCTGACATAGTAACCAGATGTACAAAGTGTGATCTTTTTACTTTTAGAGGCAGCATTCTGAAGACCTAACCAAAAGAATCTCCTCTGGGTACATCGAAATTTATCTTGGAGCATAACTAGCACATTTACATTCATGAGGAGGAAGCCCAAAATATCCAGGTTTTGTGGGCCCTGAGGCTCATACAATTCTGGAGCACTTCTTTAAGGAAAAGAATACAAAATCATAAATACTAAACAAATGTGAACATAAATATGTATTTTTTGGTGTTTTTTTGGGGGGGTGGTTATTGTTATTCTTTATTTATTAAAGTACTAGAGGCCTGTTGCATGAAGAGATTCGTGCAATAGGCCTTCCCTTCTCCTGGCTGTGGGCACCGGTTTTCTCCGGCACCCGGGACCCAGGCCTTTGCTCGGGCCGGAGCCACCTTCCGTCCTCCGTCTTCGTGGACCCAGCCGGAGCCGCCTTCTGTCTTCCGTCTTTGCTGCTCCGGCTCGCCTTCAGTCTTCGCTCCGCAGCTTGGAGCTTACATATGCAAATTAACCGCCATCTTTGTTGGCGGTTAATTTGCATATCACGAAAATTTCTATATGTCACACGGCACCAGAGTTAAGTTAGGGTTTTTTCAAAATGCTGACACGCCGAGCTCAAAAAGTTCGCCATCACTGCCCTAGGAACTGTATCGGTGAAGATATTGCTTCGGCATATGTCTGAGATTTTGCTGCCTGTGGATTCCTCTAAGATTTTTATGGTTTCCCATCTTATGTTTAAGTCCTTTATCCATTTTGAGTTTATTTTTGTGTATGGTGTAAGTTGGTGGTCTAGTTTCATTTTTTTGTCCAATTTTCTCAACACCATTTATTGAAGAGACTGTCTTGACTCCATTGTATGTTCTTGTCTCCTTTGTCAAATATTAATTGAGCATAATGACTTAGGTCAATTTCTGGGTTCTCTGTTCTGTTCCATCAGTCTATATGTCTGTTCTTGTGCCAGTACCAGGAAGTTTTGAGGACGGTGACTTTGTAATATAGTTTGATACCTGGCATTGAGATTCCTTCGACTTTGTTCTCCTTTCTCAGGATTGCTATGGCTATTTGGGTTTTGTTTTTTGTTTAATTCCATATGAATTTTTGGAGAGCTTGTTCTAGGTCTGTGAAATATATCATTGGTATTTTAATGGGGATTGCATTGACTCTATAGATTGCTTTGGGTAGTATGGACATTTTAATGATGTTGATTCTATGAATTCATGAACATGATATATTCTTCCATTTGTTTATGTCTTCCTCTATCTCTTTTTTCAACGTCCTGTAGTTTTCAAAGTACAGGTCTTTTACCTCCTTATTTAAGTTTATTCCTAGGTATCTTAATTTTTTGGTGCAATGGTAAATGGGATTTTAAAAAATTTTTTTCTTTATGTAAGTTCATTATTGGTGTATAAAAAAACCATAGGCCCTGACCGGTTTGGCTCAGTGGAAAGAGCGTCGGCCTGTGGACCAAAGGGTCCCGGATTCGATTCCGGTCAAGGACATGTACCTTGGTTGCGGGCACATCCCCAGTAGCGGGTGTGCAGGAGGCAGCTGATCGATGTTTCTTATCAATGTTTCTAACTCTCTATCCCTCTCCCTTCCTCTCTATAAAAAATCAATAAAATATATATATTTTTTAAAAAACACATAGATTTCTGGGTGTTAATTTTGTATCCTGCTACCTTTCCAAATTCATTTATTAAGCCTAATAGTTTTTTGATGGAGTCTTTATAGTGTTCTATGTACAATATCATGTCATCTGCAAATAATGACAGTTTTACTTCTAGTTTTCCAATTTGGATGCCTTTTATTTCTTCTTCTTGTCTAATTGCTATGGCTAGCACTTCCAGTACTATGTTGAACAGGAGTGATGAGAATGGGCATCCCTGTCTGTTCCTGTTCTTAGCTGAAATGGTTTTAGTTTTTGCCCATTGAGTCATAAATATGTATTTTTAACAAGAAATTTTTTTTACAAATTTCAGAAAATGACAAATATCACAAACACCACAAAAATCTATGACTTATAATAGTTTCATTTTAATTAACTATATGACACACCTCTCTAAGACTTTTTCCCCTGCATTTTTTTTTGGTTGTGTATTCTTGATGGCACCAATTTTGTAATGTTTTCACAGAGAGAATACAACAATGAGTCAATGTTTCCTCTAGCATGATTGATCAAAATTTGTGTTTTATTATTGACTAGAGACTTGGTGCACGAAATTCGTGTACTTGGATGGGAGTCCCTCAGCCCTGCCTGCGCCCTCTTGCAGTCTGGGAGCCCTCAGGGGATGTCTGACTGATGGCTTAGGCCTGCTCCCCATGGAGAATGAGCCTAAGCTGTCAGTTGAACATCCTTAGCACTGCCATGGAGGCGGGAGAGGCTCCCGCCACCAGCACTGCACTTGCCAGCCATAAGCCCGGCTTCTGGGTGAGTGGCCTTCCCCTGTGGGAGCGCACTGACCACCAGGGGGTAGCTCCTGCACTGAGCCTCTGCCCCGTAGAGGTTAGTGCACATCATAGCAACCGGTCTTTCTGCCGTTCGGTTGATTTGCATATTAGCTTTTTATTATATAGGACTAGAGGCCCGGTGCACAAAATTCGTGCATGGGGGGGGGGGGCGGTTTCCCTCAGTTCGGCCTGCACCTTCTCCAATCCGGGACCCCTCAGGCAGGGATCAGGCCTAAGCTGGCAGTCGGACATTCCTCTCGCAATCCAGGACTGCTGGCTCCCAATCACTCACCTGCCTGCCTAATCTAACCACTCACTCTGCCTGCCTGCCTGATGCCCCTAACTGCTCCCCTGCCTGCCTGATCACCCTTAAGTGCCCTCCCCTGCCAGCCTGATCTCCCTAACTGCCCTCCCCTGCCAGCTTGATCACCCCAACCACCTCTGCCTCAGCCTCCACTACCGTGACTTTGTCCGGAAGGACATCCGGAAGGATGCCTGAAAGATGTCTGGTCTAATTAGCATATTACCCTTTTATTAGTATAGATAGTTTAGAAAAGTTTCAGCCTCACAAATTGATATTAGTAATGTCATGTAGATTTTTATGACTGTTGTTAAAATTGAGAAAATAAACTTTATTAGATTTTTTTTCGTATAGATTTGAAAGAATATTCTACAGAGGAGCTTATGGCTTCACCTGTGTCAAACTTATTACTCTATCTACAGCTTCCCAGAACCTTGAACTGTCCTCCAGTTTCCTCTCATGATTCAATGCCTATCCCTGCACCTTGCTTTCATGACACCAGGTAGTCAATAATATTGGCAGTAAGAGGAGGTTTGTGAAGGTCAGAAAAAAAAAGAGCTGCCTTATGTACCCCACAAAATTGTTTTGTTTTGTTTTGTTTTGTTTTGTAATGTAAGGATGAAATGTGAATAGATGTGAACAGCACTTTATAAATAGTTGCTAATTTGTTGTTTTATAAAAGTGTCATATAAATGTAAGCTTTTTTTATCATTGTTATTTTTGTGAGGTTAAAAAAAAATACCCTGGGCCCTGGCCAGCATTTCTCAGTGGTTAGAGCATCGGCCCAAGCACTAAAGGGATGAAGGGTTGGTTCCCAGCAAGGACACTTACCTGGGTTTCAGGTTTGATCCCAGCCCTGGTTAGGGCGTATGCAGGAGGCAATCAATCAATGTGTCTCTCTCACATAGATCTCTCTCTCCCCCTCCGCTCTCTCCCTCTCTCTTTCCCTCCCTCCCTCCCTCCCTTCCTTCCATTCTATCTAAAATCAACAGAAAAATTATCCTCAGGTGAGGATTAACAAACAAACAAACAAATACCCTGGGAATTCCTACTGCATCATTATCTGTGATCTCTTCTCAATCCACCCACATTCTAAGCACATATGACAAAACAGTTGGCATAAGCTTGGACAGAATAGAATTGATTCATCTTTTCTTTTTTTAGTTTATAAAGTACATATTAAAATATCGAAAATATTTTCTTTAGGTGGTATCACTGGTGAATGTATACCTAGAGCAATTTATCTAGCTTCCTAAGAATTTCTGTTCAGATCACAGAAAACTCTGGACAAATGAGGAATGGCATATTAGAATTAGTAGGTTTGGCAATTCATTTATTGGAAGCATATTTGCATAGTCATTTCTAAAATTCACCCTGCAAGGTTGAGAAAATAAAGTTCTTGGGAATCAAATTGCTATGACCTTGGAGATTCCTGAATCGACTCATTACTGTAGGTATTTTTCTTTAATCTGCATCAATTAATATTTTTCTTGTTCTCTGCAACAAGGATTTGTGATGAAGAAGAATGCTACTGTGCTGTCTCCTCATTTCAACGAATCATGCAGCCATTAGCCAGGCACAGATGGACAAAAGCTCCCACATCAGACCTTCAGAAATCCAAAGTATCTTCCTTACAGGATTCACAATATGTAAATTAGTGTTAAAAGGACTGAGAAATGCCTGTATAAGAAAGCTCTCCAACTCGTGGACTGAAACCCCCTGGGTGTTTACCTGGGTAGAATTTCTCACTTCATTTCTCGTTTAGCCTGAGAGTGGTCAGTAGATAATTTTCTATTTTTGTGGAACTGCAGCAAATGCCTTATTACTGCCTCTGTGATTGAAACAGAAGAGTGGAGCTGAATGACAAAGAAGGAGAAAATAACATCAGTATTTTGTATGCTAACAATGGCTTTCACAACAGGTCTGAGTGCAGCCTGCTTCCATATTGAGAAAGTTGAGTAACTCAGCAAAAATACACAGATGACCCCTCACAAAGAACATTCATTGTTCTTTTTGACTGTGCCGTATTTGAATCTCCTTCCTGAGTTTGACAGTCTGAAAACTTGGTGACTGTGCCAGACACTTGCTTTCCCAGGCTCCCTTGCAGCCACTGTCTGGCCAGTAACATTTCCCCACCCCAAGATGCTGGCCCAGAGCACAGGAAGGAGCCACAGTGCAGCATGCGCCTTCTCTAATGTCAGTGGCAACTTTGTCCAGGAATAATTCCATTGGACCAAACTATCTGTCAAGTTGATTCCCTCAGAAGCGGACATTGAGATAAAGATTTAAAGACAAGTAGCTTATTTAGGCTGTGCCCTCAGGAAGCACTAGTCAGGAAGTTGGAGAAGAGACGAAAGCCAGATAGTGAACATGTTACCCTGTGAATATCTGAGGTTCAGTCATGCTGCGACCTCTGGAAGATAGTACAGAACAAACCTCAGAGTTATCCCTGCTGAGGGATGAGGAATCTGAAATATTTATTCTCTCTTATGAACTGAATGTTTGTATCCCCCAGTGAATTCAACAAAATTCATATGTTGAAGCCCTAATCCCAGTGCGGCTGTTATTTGTAGTAAGGAAGTAATTAAGGTTAAATGAGGTCATAAGGGTGGGGCCCTGATCTGATAGGTTAGTGTCCTTATAAAAAGAGACACCAAAGAGACCTCTCCTCTCCATCTCTCTCTCTCTCTCTCTCTCTCTCTCTCTCCCACCCTCCCTCCATGCACACTAGGAGGAAAGGCCATGTGAGGACACAGCAAGACGCTGTCTTCAAACCAAGAAGAGAGCTCTCACCAGGAATTGAATCAGGCTCAACCTTGATCTTGAACATCCCAACCTCCAAAACTGTGTGCAAAAATTTCTATTAAGTCACTTACTCTGGTATTTTGTGATGGCAGCCTGAGCGGACAAAGAAATCTTTTGATTCTCATTTGTCCTGAGGTCATTAGCACTTCATGACATCCAACCTGCCCCACCTGGGGTGGTGGAGCATTGGCAGAAGCAGTCCGCGTGTGGAGAATCACAGGTACTTCCACAAAGATAAGAGAAGGAGCAGTGGGTGTCAAGGGGCTCTAGTGGGGCATTGACGGAGGCTGCTGCAATGGTGGGCATGAAACAATGACATAATGTTTTACGTCAGCAGAAGAGATTTTTCACCAGATCTGCTCTGCTCCATCATTCTCATCATTTTTCCTGGTTACTTAGCCTTGTACCAAGGTCTCCGGCCCTCCCAAGGGCCAGTCAGAGAGCTACCTCTTAATAAATTACTTTTCTGCTTAAACCAGTCAGTTCCATATCTGCTGCTTGCAACTAAGAATGCTCACTGTACACTCCAAGTTAAATCTAGACATGAAAACAAGAATTTGAGTCATCTACATCTTACTATCCAAAATTACAAAAGCAAAGGTAAACAATTCATGGCTAAAACAAGGCAAATTAGCAAGTGACTCTGAAAAGAAACTTTTTGCAAAATAAAATTATAACATCTGCCCCAAATATGCATCCATAGAAACATCGATGAGAGAGAAACTTCGATCAGCTGCCTCCTGCACACCTCCCACTGGGGATGTGCCCGCAACCAAGGTACATGCTCTTGACCGGAATCAAACCTGGGACCCTTCAGTCCGCAGGCCGATGCTCTTTCCACTGAGCCAAACCAGTTAGGGCAGCAATTCTATTTCTAACTAATTGACCTAAGTTAATAATTGAACGAGAGCTCAAAGGTGAATGATTTGTATAATTTTTTTTCAAATCATTATATATAACAGCAAAAAATTAAAAACAAATTAAGTATCAAGGAAGTTTTTAAATAAGTGACAATACATCTATAGTGGAATACATCCCAGCTATTAAGAGTGACATTGCAGAAGTATTTTTTTAAATATATTTTTATTGATTGCAGAGAGGAGAGGGAGAGATAGAAACATCAATGATGAGAGAGAATTATTGAATAGCTGCCTCCTATATACCCCACATAGGGGATCGAGCCTGCAACCCGGGCACATGCCCTGACTGGGAATCAAATCATGACCTCCTGGTTCATAGGTCGATGTGCAACCACTGAGCCACATAGCCAGGTCAGACGTACATTTTTAATATGAAAAATATATTTATGGTTTAAGTAAAAAGTCAAGTTAGAGAGCTCTATATTTAATGGGATTCCATTTTGTAAGAAGAAAGGCATATAAATCTTAGAGAAAATTCTGAAAAGATATATAACAATATATTAATCAAAGTTATATTGGGGTGGTAGAACAAAGATGATTTTATTTTCACATTATATTTAAATATATGTATGACTCTTTTACAATAAGCATTAGTCAATCACTTACCAAAATTTGTATGTGATAGTAATACCTGCTCTACCTAACTCACAGAAATCTGATAGTGTAGGAAAGTATGATTGTCATTAAAAGTTTCATAAACATGCAGTGAATGTAAACTTTCAGAGGAGAAGATGCATGAGAATCTTCAAAACAATTTAATATATAATTTAACAATGCTTTACTAGGGCTGCTATGATTAATATCAGCAGGCACAAAAATAATGCCAAGACTATGCAATTAGCCATCAAGTGTGAATCAATATGGTTAATTCACTCAGTACTAAAAGTACAAACCTAAGATGTCTTCAGCATCAGTTGCAGCAAGATGTCCTGGAATAACACCAATTATAAGAGATCAAAAAGTTCTGGCTAATAAACAGGCACTGGATAATAAAGATATATATTAATAAAGCAGTGGGTATTACTGCTATCATAATTGGTCTTAGCACTTTTCAAACCTAAGGAGACAGAATTAAACAAGTATCCCTGGCAGAAGAATTAAACAAATGTGTAAATCAAACACTATTAAATTAAATTCTGTTGTCCTGGCAACTCTAGTGCTTTGATAAATAAGTTATTTGACATTTTAACAGAACTTGGAATTTATCCTGTGTGAATGAAAATTCAGAAGTTATTCCTTCTATGTACTTGCCATATGGCCAAAAGCTTTCTATCTCAAAAATAAGTTATGGCCATGTAGTTAGTCCCCAGGAACTAAAAAGGTACCAATGAGGTAGCAACTATGGATTGCTCCCCATTATTTCTTATCCCCTAAGGTGTGGACTCCTAGCACCCACAGCCTGCCTTGGGTGTCCCTCCAGGTCTGCTCTTCTCCCTTCCCCACCCTGCTTCATCCTGGGAGCCTGGGAGCTCATGACCTTGGGCTTCCAGTTGGGTGTGCCCCTGCAGGAGATCAGAGGGTGGGAGAAAGGTAAGGCCAGGGATGTTTTTCCCTCGGGCTCCCTCTAAGCAGGCTGGCTGCTTCCCTCAGCCTAGAGTTATAGGACTGGACAGAAGCCCTCTCCCTACAGGCTATCTGTACCTGTGGTACCTTTGTCTCTAGGTTTTGGAAACCATTCACTAACCCAGCCAACCCTTCAGATGTAGGGGTGCTAAGGCTGTGCTGTTACTAGCCACAGGGCACTACATTCTTGTGGATTCCCTATCCAGCGGTCGGCAAACTCATTAGTCAACAGAGCCAAATATCAACAGTACAATGATTGAAATTTCTTTTGAGAGCCAAATTTTTTAAACTTAAACTATATAGGTAGGTACATTGTTATTAACTTAATTAGGGTACTCCTAAGGCTTAGGAAGAGCCACGCTCAAGGGGCCAAAGAGCCGCATGTGGCTCGCAAGCCGCAGTTTGCCGACCACGGCATACCCCTCCCAGCTTTGTAAATACTGTAGTTGCTTTGCTAAATGCTGCTTAAATTACTCTGTTCCCTGCTGGAACCCTGACTGGTCATGTGCCTCAGGGAAACCTAGCCCCAGCACCAATTCCAAGATGCACCGTGCTTTGTTTAAGCCAATCAGCACTTCTTATTCCACTGATTAAGGGGTGGACAGAAGATGTGCAATCCAATAAAAGAGAATCTGAGGATTCTGGCTTGAAATTCTAGGCCTGAAGCAGTCTCTCTTACAACAGATAATGTTGGCCCCAAGGAGCCCAACATCTCAGTGGCTTAACTCAAGAAAAATGTATTTCTCGTTCACATAATGTGCAATTAGGGTCAGCAGGAGGTGGGAGGGGACCACTCATCAAGCTCATCTCGTTCTCAGGTTGCTTTCATCTAGTGTCTCCACTATTCCCCAGGGTTCTTGCTGCAGATCTGGAAAGGGCAGGAACATGGATCAGGCATGGACATTACATCCATCACCTCCATCACATTCCATTGCCAGAACTAGGTCACACAGCTCCACCTAACTGCAGAGGTCTGGAAGGTGCAGTCAAGCTGTGTGACAAGGAAGAAGACAAAACAGTGTGGTGAACCCCTAGCCGGCCTCTATTTCACCCCTCCAGCAAGGGGTAGCTGCATCCGTTAGGACTGCCTTTAGCAGCATGTAACCAAAACTGAACCCCAGTGACTTACCCAAATAAGGGCTTTTTATAGACCAAGGAATCTGGGGAAGGTAAGTCAGAGCTGCTCCAGGAACCAGGCTTCTCCTTAGTTTGCAAGACAGCTTTAGGCACTCTGTCCAAAGTCCAGGAAGAAAGAAGGGAAAAGGCCAAGTGCAAAGGACAAAAGGAACACATCTAACAAGTTTGGTCCCTTTTTAAAAAAGTTTCTGGAGGCCCATTTCAGCAGACTGTCTCTTTCATGGCCACACTCCCATTAAGGAAGCCTGGGGTAGGGTTACCAGATAAAATACAGCATGTTAGGTTAAACATGAATTTCAGATAAACATATACATTTTCGTGTAAAGTATGTATGTCCCCTGCTGGGCATCCCACATCTAACAAGTTTGGTCCCTTTTTAAAAAAGTTTCTGGAGGCCCATTTCAGCAGACTGTCTCTTTCATGGCCACACTCCCATTAAGGAAGCCTGGGGTAGGGTTACCAGATAAAATACAGCATGTTAGGTTAAACATGAATTTCAGATAAACATATACATTTTCGTGTAAAGTATCTATGTCCCCTGCTGGGCATCCTGTTTTGTTTTTGCTAAATCTCAAAAGTTTTAGCCTGAAGAGATGTGTATTTTTTCAACATAATTAACATATTTTATTGAAATGGTTTAAACTTCTGAAAAATTGGAATGTACAAATAAACCTTAATGGAGATAGAAGACATTTTTTGTACCTCTATATTTCTTATTTTTGTGATAAATGTATTGTTTATCCCTTTTTATTGCTAAATAGTATTCCACTGTCAGATTTATATAAATCTTTTGTCGGGTTTATCTCTATGTATTTCTTTTTTTCTTCTTCTTCTTATTTTAGTTACTTTAATTTTTTTCATTTTTTCATTTTTCATTTACAGTTTATAATCAAATTATTCTGTATTAGTTTCAGAGGTAAAGCATAGTGGTTAGACAATCATGTACCTTACAGAGTTGTCCCTTGATATTTCAAGTACCCACCTGGCCCCATACATAGTTATTATGATATTATTGGCTATATTCCCTGTGATGTAATTTATATCTTTGTGACTATTCTGTAACTACCAATTTGTACTTCTTAATCCCTTCACCTTTCTCATTATGCTAATGTCAAAGACAATTACCTTATGATTTCACTTATGTGTGGAATCTAAAGAACAAAACAAATAAAATAGAATTATACTCATCAATACAGAGAACAGAATGACAGTTGACAGAGTGGAGGAGGTTTGGGGGGCTGGATGAAAAGGGTGAGAGATGTGTATTTTTTAATGGCCTTTCTGAAAAGAGTCAAGGTTCTGGTGATAAAGAAGAGGGGGAAATAGACATAAGGTATGACCAGGAACACAAAAGCAGAGGTCTGTGGGGTGTGGTTTCCAGGAAAGTTTTTTCTCTCCTCCTGATACAAGTGGGCAGACTTGACTTTTTCCTTAACGGTGGATGTCAGGCTTGGGGGGCCCACAGCCATGTTGAGACCATGAGGGGACAAGCATGAGGACAGAGGCCTACAGGTTAAAGATGGGGGAGCAGAAAGGTGGGACGGCCCTCGATCCAGAAGGGATTGTGGCACTGCTGTGCCAACCTGATGGCCGGCCCGAGGAAGAAGACAAACCGGATTTCTCAGGACACACAACAGGCTGCCATCTCTGGAAGCTGTTGCTATGTGGCTCGCGCTTTGTTTCTTTCCTCTCTATTTCTCTCTCCCGCTCCTTCCCCCTCTCCCTATTTTTTCTTTTCTTTTTTTAATAAAACACATTTCCAGCTGGTACAGCTCTCTTTCCTTGCACTCCATGATTATTGAGTCTCTTTGTCAGGATGAGGGACACAGCATGAGAATTAACCTAAACCCAAAAGATGGTACAGCCGATGGAATTTCTTTAAACAAAGCCCAACTCACAAGGCAAAGTTGACCCTAACTCCCTCCCCCCACCCCCGCCCGCCCCCATACCTCTGGTTACATGAGCCAACAGATCGTTTGTCTTTATTGCTTAAGATCATTTGAGTTGGACATTCTTTTCCTTGTAGGAAAAACATCCTAATCAAACCAGATTCTTCAGTACAATATATATCCTCCTAATTGATTTGGCAACACTTATCTCATTATACCAAGACACGGAAATAAAATTAATATTAGGTGATATAACATGGCAGGCATATTTTTTAGCAGGAATATGTACTTTTTTTAAAGCAAGAGTTCAAAGTAAAAATTATATGTCTTTGTCAAGCATGTTTTTACCTATTACTCTATGTGTTGTGAAGACCTGTAAATAGATTAAAAATTGTAGTATTAATTATTCCCAATGGTTTCATAATCATGCACTGAAGTGCTGCATTTTTAAGTTTCAGTAATTGGACTCCAGAGACTTACAGAGAGGAATAACACACGTTAAGATGTCATATTCAATTCTCAACATGTGACTGTCATTATCTTCCAACTCAATAATGCTTATAAATGTACCAGCTATGTATGAGCTACTGTAAGTCTTTAAAATCCTGTAGCTTGACATTTATAGCTATCCTAGCCAGCAGGAGCTCATTTTAGCTGTTTGCACTGATTGTTTCAAGTGTGCCCTCTAGATTCTTTGAAAACCCTGTAAAATATTGAGGGGGCGGGGAGCAACCACAGAACCATGATCCATATCCTCAGTCAGGTTTTCTGTGACATGAGATGTGTGTCCCAGATTGAATGGGAATAAACACCACAAGGGGAAGCGGATGCTAGACTCAGTCTCAAGTCTATGTCTGCACAAAGTGATTTGATCATTCTTATCAATGCCCTGTAGGAAGAGAATATCTTGGAATGGGGAAAAAAATGGTCAAAATAGTTATTTTACTGAGTTGACTGAGGTACAGTCAAAGCCCTTGATCCAGTCTGATCTGAATTGGCCCCTTTAAAAATTTTGCTTCCCTGATGAGAAAAGCCAACTAGCCATGGTCTCCCCTCACAGAGCGATGCCAAACCCAGTTACAGCACTTCAGACCTTATCCGAGTCCTGGTAAAATTCTGTTGTGTCAAATGTTTATTATGATAACTAAGGTGGCCATTGCCAAGAGAGCTCTTTTTGCTAGAGAGGGATCCTCAAACTAACGATTATTTTATTGGCCAAAATGGACCTGTCGCTGGGCTTCATTCATTCATGATAGTTGGGGAAACAGAATTCTCACTGATGCTTAGTTCAGAAACCTTTCAGAGATGACCTTCCAAGATACTGTCAAGTGTAGTTGCTCTTATGTAAGATTATTCATGCTAGTGAATACATTTTAGTGTTAAAATTACTCAATTCTTTCCCTCTCTCTCCCTCCAACCTTTATATTGTTATACATATATTATTATTATATGTTGTACATATATTATTATATGCATTATACATTTCACATATACAGTATTATATATACAGTATTCTCTCTCTGCACATCTGAGAGATAATTCTGTATATGTCCTGTATATATAATACTGTATACATTATATGTATAACTAGAGGCCCGGTGCACAAAAATTTGTGCCTTATGTAAGATTATTCATGCTAGTGAATACATTTTAGTGTTAAAATTACTCAATTCTTTCCCTCTCTCTCCCTCCAACCTTTATATTGTTATACATATATTATTATATGTTATACATATATTATATGCATTATACATTTTGGTTGGGGTGCTGCCCCGGGTCAGGTTGCACACGGGACGCCCGGGCGGGCCGGCCGATCACTGCTGCACCACCTGGCTGCCCCACGTTGGGTCACACACGGATGCCCACCACCCCGGGTCGCAGATAGCAGGCCAGGATGGCAGGGCAGACAGGATGGCGCTGTCCCGCCCTGCCTGCAGTATGCAAATTAGCCGCCATCTTTGTTGGTGGTTAATTTGCATATCACGCTGATTAGCCAATGGGAGGCGTAGTGAAGGTATGGTTAATTACCATGTTTGTAATCCATTATTAGATAGGATATGTCAAAGAGATAATGCTGAATATAGTATTTATTATGTTGTATATAATATGCCTATATAACAATTTACACAACAATTTTTTAATCTTTAAGAAAATGTATTGAAAAAACTGAAGAGCAAATATTTCCCAATTAGCAAAATCTTTGCCCCAGCTCTCCTTGCGAAGATTTCTAACACTGAGCACATTTTGGGGTGCCCAGCCCTGGATGGCCTTCTACCCATCCTCGGGGTTACCAGAGGAAGGAACTAAAGGCAAACAATGGCTGAAAGGACAGAATGAATAAACCATCCATCATACCCAAGAATTTGGGGATCTTGCCAATTTCTACTTCTGGTCCTTCAGCCCAAATCAAGGAAGCTTTTGTCAAGGGGTGGAACTGCATGGTCCTTCAGCTTTGCTTTGTTTGTTGCATGACCCAGGGGCATCTTCAGATTTTCATTTCCCTGTCTGCCTCCTAAGCCGGTCCTCTTGCAAGTGCTTTCTAATGGTCCTGTGGCCACTTTAAACTTCCACTGGCTTCTCACGTTTCCATTCTAGTTTTATTTTTGAAATAGCTGCTGTTTTCCATCATACCAAATAGCTGGCTTGACTACATTTCTCACTCTTTTAGCTGCTGTGTCAATACTTCAAAACATTCAGTCAGTTACCTCAATTCAGTCAAAAATTGTCACAATGTTTGGCATTGTGTTGACACAGCCCATGGCATTGGAGGAAATACAGCTCATTAACTTCTTAGTGAATCTTTATGGAGACGAGTTCCACACCGTAACAGAGCTACAGATATGGCCGGACCACCATGACCAAAGGAAGGAAAGGAATTACTGCTGGAGTGCCAACTATGTGTCAGACCCTGTGATAGGATTTATCCACATTTTAGCCATTTAATTGCACAATATTCCAAGCTGACCATCAACCAGAGTTAGGCTGAAAATAATAGTTTATTATGGAGTTCCTATTTACATGCTAATATTCGAAGAACACAGAAGAAAATAGCCTCTGCTGTCAAATTTCACTTAATGGATTAATTTCCTTTAACTTGTATTTAGGTTTATGGCAAAGTGATGTGGTTCCTTTAAGAAACTGGGAGGCAGGGTGCTTCGTCTCAATATATGATGCACTTAGAGAAAATGAACTTTACAGAGGATTAGACACA